AGGTAGTTAACATCTCCTAGCCACCGTGGGGCCAGATGTGAGAGTACCCACACTTTACCCCACCACGCGCGACTTTTTCGATCGACTCGCTGTTAATATTAATATCCAGTCATATGATATCCGCAGCGGTGTAGAGGCATATGATACATAGATCATGTTATAACTCGGTGATTACGCGTGGCATGTACCCTGAGTGTAAGAATGAATTCTATTCAGCACATCGATACCATTGTAGCCTTAAAGAAAACCAATATATGATAGGCGACGTTTCGGGCAATGACCCTTCTTCACATCACTTGTAGAGCGTGTACGAGTTGTTTACAGCTATTTAAATACTACGAGGCCTGGCAAAATAATTACAATTGAAGCAAATCATGATTGACAGTGTGTGTGTTTTTTTTTATCACAAAGTGATGCATTCCTGCATGGGTTCAATTATCATTGTAATACAATTGCAATTAGGATAATGCGATTAGTGATGGATCCGTAGTATACTGTATTGTTATGAGATATGACTGTTCGACCTGAGCTGTTATATACTTTGATATTAGTATTGCCTTTGGGCTGTTCGCCTGTTGGCGTTGTTCTCCCGTCTAGCACCGGTGTAGAGACGAGGATATGAAGGAGGCTGTGGCTCTGTCGTAGGCCAAACACTTTCAAGGACAATGCATATCTTATTCTTATTATTATCAACGCATGTTGGTTTGCATGTTTTGCCACAAGCACGTGTGGTTCAAATAGATACCTATTATTGTGATAATAGGTATCTATTTGATGTTTGGGGCCGTTCATAAATGACGTCACGCATCTACGGAGGGGGGGGGGGAGGTGCTCAGACATTTGTGACGATGTGTGACGAGGGGGGAGGGGGGTTGGGAAATGTGACGTCACATCAAAATGCGCAACTTTAAATAAATATAGACAACACGTTCTACTTAATTAAATAGACTTTTAAATAAATGTCTAAATGTCTTCTCCTACAACATCAGAGTGCAGCGCCACACGCACTACAATGACAATGGTTTAAAGCGATTTGAAGCATGTTTTATACATATTTTTTGAGGGGAGGGGGGGGAGGCAGAGCTTTGTGACCTCATATATGAGGGGGTCTGACTTTTTGTGACGTCGTGTGACGAGGGGGGGGGGGGGGGTAAAAAAATCGTCCAAAATCGCGTGACGTCATTTATGGACGGCCCCTTTGGACAACTTAACACCTCTTGTATCCTTGCCAGGAATGGTAAAGTTTATGTTTTTTTTTATGTTATCAGATCCCGTTGTAAATAATGATCACTAGCAGCAGCCATGATAAATCCACTGCTGGATGAAGGCGTCCCCAAGGTGCCACCACCTCCCACGATTCTGCAATGCAATACTGCACGTGAACTGATTTCATTACTCCATCTCCCCGGTGGAGGTATTCTCAGGCTCAGATTGCCACTGTTAGTATTATTATTATTGATCACCCTGTTGTAAATATACTCATACATCTAAGAATCTAACAATATATGTTTAATTAAATTTTATATGTTGATGCATTCAATTGTCGAATGGCTTTCACTGCTTTAATTGGGAACAATATGCTTCACGCACTTAATAGCTTCTCATGCAAAATCATCGACTCGATTACAGAACGCCCATTGGTAAAGTGGAAAATAAAATAAAAACTCTCCAATAGCAGTGTGCGACTGTGGTCATCCAGAACATACCGGGCAACATGTAACGACGCCAATGCCCGATCCACAAATACGAAGGTTTACTGCACTGGGATACATCTCCGCAACTCCACACGCAGTTGTCTGGGCTGATCATTTGAATGTGAAATTGTAGTTGCTGCTCTGCATCTACATTAGCAGTACGAAAGAAGGTCATTACGCCCAATGCTGCTTTTGCCACCAGATCTGTGATTCGTTTCCTTCCATCCGCTAGATCCTGAAGTTGTTCCAAAGTTTGATACCCGGCCTCTGAGGACCGATCTCACAGCCTCACCATCACAACGACTTCGACTACCACCGTCATCTCAGAATCAGAATCTGTATTTATACTGGAGGAATCCGATGAGCTGTAAGGCTCTTCTTCGAGGTCCTGGCCCCGATACAGACGACAGGACCTTGGAGGGCGACTCTTACAGTCGAACGACCATCACCACCTTCATCTGGCATGAGGCCTTCTCCTTGCCACTGGTTCAGTACACATGGCCCACCACCTAATCTCTCCACATCCTCGCTTCGTGTCGAGAACCTGTCCACGTGAAATGTTTCTACGTTGAACTTTTTTTGCCTCGCCGTACGTAGCCAACCGCGCTAATCGGAGGCGTGGAGGAAGGGTAGCAAACTAAACAACAACTCAAAACTGTTCTAAAGAAATGAGCTTTCAACCTGAATTTTAAAAGTGCGTAGCTCTGGTGGCTTCCTAATATCGGAAGGAAGAGCGTTCCAGACGGCCGCAGAAGCGCACCTGAAAGCGCGCGATTGCCGGTAACCGTCTTTGTTCGATGGCCAGACAAAAGCCGCTGCTGCTGCTGCGAGGAACGCCGAGTTCGCGTGATGGTGGTTTATAGAAATGTGTCCATGCTGCCCATACTTCACCACTGCCATGGAGAGGCTGACCTTCGTGACCCCTGCGTCCAAACGTCTCTTCCGTTGAAAAGCGCTACAATATAAAAGTCCCCCAAATTATACACCGTCAATCTCCTAGAGGGATTATAAATCTCAAACGGGAATATTCAGCTTGATTGCTAAGGTCGTTCTCACAGCTGATACGCCTCAACTCGAGCGGCAACGGTCTGCTGGAACGTTCTTCGTACACCGATTTCTGCCCAATCACAGCCCCTCAGGCGATGAACTATTAGGCGAATGCCCCATTTAGGGTTAGGGAGCTAAGTGTTTCTAAATTTGGGGTTAGTTTTACAGTTAGGGGTTAAAATGAGTGGTTATTTTTGGCTTAGGATTCGGGGTTTTAGTTTAGGGGTTATACCGTTGGAGGTTAACTGGTCGGGCACCAATTCGGTCGAGGCTCAAAAGAAAGCCGTCCCTTGGTGTGGACCAATCAGTTTCAAGGACAATGCATATATTATCATAGTGTGTTTTTTGTTTGCATTTTGACTGCAGGTATTGTGGTTAATGCAGACATGAATCCTCGTAAAAAGGTTTCAGTTTTGTTGCCATAAAAAAGGGGAAAACCCCCTATTATTACATTTTGGTACTGGCAAAGGAGGTCTAATTATAAAAAATATAAACTTTAGACCAAGTAATACCGGGCAGGCAACGCGAGGGGGCGCGCGTACAGCGACACTTCGCGCGTGGCGATGCAACGCGATAAAAATCATGGAGTGCGAGCCAATCACCACCAATCATCAGTGACAGGGTAACGACATCGTCAGCACAGGGGGTGCGGCGATGGGTTAGGTGGGGGCCCCAATATTGTGATTTTCCTACACTTTGCGGAAGCCAAAAGTTACCGTTCTCATTAAGATAAAACGTAAACGAACGCATTTTCATGTGCAAAAAAAAAATCGCACCGCGTTTTAAATAAGCTTTTGTTATTTTTTTTTTAACTCTGTATTGGTGGTTGTCAAGGAGGGCCCAACTCGTAGCTTTGGCCACCAGAGGGGGGGGGGGGCAAGGCACCCCCTGCCCCCATGCAAATATTAGTCAATCAAAAACAGGGGGGCGTTTCATATGACGCTATACTAACCAATGGGATAACTCCATCCGTGGATCGCTTGCCAATGAACGGACGCAGTGATTTAGCCCTTCACAAATCGACACCCTAGCATGGCTTTCGGATCGATAAAACCATATCCGTCAACCCCTTGTCAGTGCCCTACATTATTAGAGACCAATTCAGACCTCATTGGTCACCCAATGCCCCTTACAAATCTCAACGTTCATCATACAAAGTCCCATCACAAGGGAAAAACACAAACAAATTAACACAAAACTAATTTTTGGTCCTCGTATGGACCTGAAAACTCAATTTCCCGGCACAAGAATACCGGGGGGTCAACGGGCTCTGTTTGCCCGTCCTAGGACGGAAGCTGTAACATTTACGAAAAGTTTGAACCGGAGTATAACTGTATCTTGTGCAAATTTCATGGCAGTGAATCCTGCACGAACGTACGTCATCGAACACTTCACTGCAGTTCGCTGTAGCACTGTATTAATGGCAGTGATTCTTGCACAAAACGAAGTCATAAAACACCTCACTTCATGTCGCTGTAGCACTGTATGAAACCGACCTTCAATTTGTTCAAATTCACTGCTCTGATACTTTATTCTGTTCTGCTTTCGGTCGCTGGGGTTGAAATAAATTGGAATTCGATCAAATATCTGGAAAATCACTGAGAAATGACTATTTTAGCATAATATAGAAGCATAAATTAGACTTACCTTTTGTCTCAAGTGCTGAAGAAATAAATAAAGACACTAAATCCACTTTGTTGCTGCGTAGAATCCTTTATTAGATACACTTTCAATAAAGAAACGTCAAACTTAAAGCGAATTTGCCAAAAAAACCCATTTCCGCTCAACCTTCTGCCTGAGTGTAAAAATCCACCCGCTCATGAATATTCATGAGGTGGAGGGGGGGTGCGGCATGTGGAGTGACGTCACGCACGTTACACACAAACAGACATTCTTGACTCATTATAGTCGTAACTAGCCTTTTGCCCGTCCAAGGACGGGTGTATTGCAGTAAATCTGAAACTTGCAAGCGAAAAGCAGAACGCGACGTGATATATTCATTGCATCAATTCGTGTGAAATTCGTAAGGCCGCGGTGACACAGACTTATTTCATCATGACGTCCTTTTTACTTTGATGTCTCAACAACAGCGTCACGGAGATCGCGTGACGTGAAGGTTCTGCCTTTGTAGCGAGGGTTGTAAGTTTACGCTGAGTCGGGGGGAGGAGGCGCCTCGCCCCTCCCCCCATATGGAGGGACGTCACCCGCTAATTATTATTAATGGATGGGGGGGGAGGTGTCCATTTGGAGGACGTCACCTCTTCATGATTATTAATGAGGAGGGCTGGTCGACGTGGAGTCACGTCACGCGCGGGACACACAGACATTCTTGGCTCATTATAGTAGTAAATGGCCACCTCGATTGGGGTTTCACAAGAACATATATGGGCAGAGACACGCCCCTAAGGGCAAAGCCACGCCTACTTTCTTACACATATATATGGGGCTGATCGATGACCGGTGATTTTCATCGAGTGTCTGAGTCTGTTGCCTTTCAGCAGTAGGCGGGGCTAGCTAAGTAGTGGGCGGGGCTATCTGAGTAATGGGCGGGGTGACTTACAGACCACAGACGTGGCCCACAGGCGCCGTGTGCTCAGATAACGATCGGACGGCCGAACCCACACACGACGCCCGCGTGCACGTGGCAATGGTGCCACGTGCTCACATTTTCTTGTAGGTGTAGATGTGGCCTTGACAGGACGGGCAGGTGTGCTCGATGTCCTGGCACTTTTTGCAGAACAGGGGGATGATGCAGAACGGCCAGCAGCTGTGTGGAAGAGAATACGGCAGGACAAGTTGAGCGATCTCACGTTGTTACCAACCCGATTTGGACGTTGCCATTGTGACGTTTTCATCGTCCTCCTCGGCCGCTGTCGAACGAAAGCCTCCCCCCATGCCATCGTCGTCGCTCGTGGCCCGGCGATGCAACAACTTGTACAGCCCCTGCAAGCGATCCAATTTCATCGCTCCCTCGTTGGCTGCCACTCCGTAGTTAGTCACGACGGATAGCCATCACGTCTTCAGAGTAACAATCTTTATTTATCCCGGAGGAATCTGATGAGCTATGAAGCTGTTTTTTCGCAGATGTCCAGTAGGGGGGCGCGGGGGCCTAAACTAAAACTATAAAAAATAACTGTAAACTACAATAGACTCTCGATTATCCGCGTGCGGTTTATCCGATTTGCGGATTAACCGCGCACCTGAGATTTTGACAAATTAATGCGTCATGGATTTTCCCTTAGGCCCAAATTAATAACCTAAAACAGTTATACATTTGTTATTCTTGTAAATGTTTACGACAGGTCACGTGCTTAAACCGACCAAATAAATGCTCCGGTTAATCCGAAATCCACGTGATCGCCTCTTCAGTACAGTAGTTGCAATATCTTTACACACAGTGGGCGGAGTTTGATTGATGTTGATTGGCGTGGCACTGCTGCTATCCACTTAGTGGGCAGAGTCTTCTGCGCGGGAACAGGAAAGGATTTTTTCAAACTTGTTTGAGTGTGCGTGTGTTTTTAATGGACTTTTGTAATAAAAGAAGATTACATTCGAAACTACTAATTTTGATTTGTTCATTAACAAACTAATTTTTTTTACCTGAAGCATATTTTATACCTATATTAGTGGTATTTGGCATAAAGATCCACGGAAAATTTATATTTTTGGATTAACAAATAATGCCCACTGAGCTATATAGCTCTTTTGTAAAAGGAACCTGGCCACAAATGATAGCCCAACGAAGTGGCTTATCACGTGGAAATATACAGCAGACAAATCATCAAAAGGCGTGATGTTCATTCTAATTGTGGAGGACAAAAACCGGAGGACGCGGAAAAAAATCCAAGCGACCATGGGAGAGACAGAGAGAACATGCACATTCCAAATATACAGCAGCAGGTCGGGATCGAACCCACGACCTCCTGTATACCAGGCGAGGTAGTTAACATCTCACAAGGTCTGGGATCGAACCCACGACGTTCTGCATACCAAGCGAGGTAGTTAACATCTCACAGGGACCGGGATCGAACGCACGACCTCCTGTATACCAGGCGAGGTAGTTAACATCTCACAGGGTCTGGGATCGAACCCACGACCTCCTGTATACCAGGCGAGGTAGTTAACATCTCACAGGGTCTGGGATCGAACCCACGACCTCCTGTATACTAGGCGAGGTAGTTAACATCTCACAGGGTCTGGGATCGAACCCACGACCTCCTGTATACCAGGCGAGGTAGTTAACATCTCACAGGGTCCGGGATCGAACCCACGACCTCCTGTATACCAGGCGAGGTAGTTAACATCTCACAGGGTCTGGGATCGAACCCACGACCTCCTGTATACCATGCGAGGTAGTTAATATCTCACAGGGTCTGGGATCGAACCCACGACCTCCTGTACACTAGGCGAGGTAGTTAACATCTCACAGGGTCTGGGATCGAACCCACGACCTCCTGTATACCAGGCGAGGTAGTTAACATCTCACAGGGTCCGGGATCGAACCCACGACCTCCTGTATACCAGGCGAGGTAGTTAACATCTCACAGGGTCCGGGATCGAACCCACGACCTCCTGTATACCAGGCGAGGTAGTTAACATCTCACAGGGTCCGGGATCGAACCCACGACCTCCTGTATACCAGGCGAGGTAGTTAACATCTCACAGGGTCCGGGATCGAACCCACGACCTCCTGTATACCAGGCGAGGTAGTTAACATCTCCTCGTTACCGTGAAAAAAAGACGATACGAACACAAGGGAGAGAAAGGTTCAGTAAGCACGTGGCTAAAAATAAATCAAGTATAGAAGTACAAATTGCACAGGTACATTTCATACATTCCTGCAGATATATCAGCAGCGAGAGCGTGGCTGGGCACAGGGCCTGCATCCTTCCTTGGCTGCATCATTTCGGTTCACGGCCGGCGCTCCAGGAGGCGCTGGGTTGGACCCTAAACCACCAAATTTCCGTTTGGCCCCCCTCCACCCACTGTTACAGTGCCCCCCCCCAACACAACAGTTCTGCTGCCCCCCCTCAACCCCCCCCCCCCCCCCCCCCCCCGAGCCAGGCCTGCTTTCGCAGACATCGCCAAAGCTTCGCCACGACATTCCCGGCACTGATGGCAGAGGTTCGCCGCTAGGAACTCGGGAGTCGGTTTGCCCTTGGCCCGGTGGACGCTCTCAAAAAAGTCCACTTTGAACGACAAAAGCATCCCTTTGGTTTAACGACGCTGGCGACGATGCTGAGAAGTTACATTTTGTAACGCGCCGCCTGCCAGCACGGTATTCGGCTGTCTACCGAAGAGAGAGAGCGCGACTTACGACGTGCAAGGAACCACAGGCGAAGCGAGAGGGCAGCAGCCAGATGGTGTGCCGCCGTTGCCAACAATTGCCCAAGCTCTGCAAACCCCTACACATTAAGTTGTTTTCAGCCTAGTGTTTGCACGTGCGGAGGAAACCCACGCGTGCAAAGGGACAACACAACTATCTCACACAGGAGGAACAGATGGAAATGAGTCCACATTTTTCCGTGACCACCCTTCTCCTCTTGGCGAGCCAGGCAAGGGTTACGGCACCTCTTCGAGACGCCTACACGGGAGAAGCCGTTCCACGACTTTTGTGCGACGCACCAACCACCTCGGGGGCTCTCCACACGGCTGAATTGGCAGGCCACGTGCGTAGCCACCACCGCTACCGCCGGCCTGCCAAGCAACCACCCAACCACCAAACCAAGTATGCACCCAACCGCCCACGCACCCACACATTTACCCACCCACCCACCAACCAAACCAACCAACCACCCACCTACCCACCCACACAAACACCCGCACAACCACCCATCCGCCCACCCACACAACCACCCACCAACCAAACCAACCACCTACCCACCAACCAAACCACCCACCTACCCACCACACAACCACCCGCACAACCACCCATCTACCCACCCACACAACCACCCGCACAACCAAACCAACCTACTCACCCACACAACCACCACCAGCACAACCACCCATCCACAGACCCACCCATCCACACAACCACCCACCAACCAAACCACCCCACCTACCCACCCACACAACCACCCGCACAACCACCGAGCAACCGAACCAAACCACGAGCCCCCGGGCGCCGCCGCCGCCGCCACCTCTCACCCAAGAAAGAAGAGCGATCCGGCCACGACCCATGTCAAGGTCCCATTGACGCCGCGCGTCAGCGTCTGCACGCGCTGCTGGCAGGACGGGCACACGGTGTTGGCCGGATCATCCGTGTTGAGGACCGGGTTCACGAAGGCCGCGCCTCTGGACGCGGGCCCGATGGCCTGCTGCGCCACGGCCGGTGACTGAGCGGCTACCGGCGCAGATGCCGGCTGGTTGTTGATGACGATGATGTTCTGTCCGTCTGTCGGTCAACAGCAACAACAACAATGTTAAACAACAACAGCAAATGCCGCTGTGACTGCAACACCGATGAACAGGGCTGGTTATGACATGATGGGGGCCCCAGAAACTATGTCAAGCTTTAGAGGAGGCTCCACACCATTACCAAAATAAAAGTGGACTCTTATTTTAATATGTCAATGGAAATATAAATATAAAAATATATATACACAGGAGAAGGTGCTACCAAGTATGTGAAAAGTGAATCTTCGTAGTATTCGTCTTTAATTGTTCGTATTTAGAGGCCTCTTCATACTATGAGGCCCGAAGCTGTAGCTTGCATAGCTTGTGCCTAAATCGGGAACTGGCGATGTCCACTGGACATCTGTGAAAAAGAGCTTCATAGCTCATCGGATTCCTCCTCCAGGGCCATTGGCGTGGCTTGAGTTGTCGCCCTGGAGACCAGGGGGTGATCGATGTTTGGGTCGCTGCGCTGATGGCATTTGTCGTGATTTTTCTCTCTTACTTAAACCAAACTATGATAGTATTTTTTTTATTTTACCAGATAAGGCCCACTGAACTCTATAGTTATTTTTCAGAAGCGACCTGGCTATCACAAATGGCAGCTCAACGAAGTGGCTGATCGTCATGTGGAAAGTTACAGACCCCCCCAAATTACTCTAAACGCGTGATGTTGATTCTAAATGTGGAGGGGGGAAGCCGGAGGACCCTGAGAAAAATCCACGCGATCACGGGGAGAGAGACACGCGAACTCCAAATATACAGCAGCAGGCGTCAGGGTCGGAATTGAACCCAAACCTCCTGTACACCAGGCGAGGTAGTTAACATCTCTCCGCCGTGGTGCCCTCTTAACAGAGTTGGCCCGCGTCAACTGCCCTCGTACACAACCTGCAGCGCCCTAACCGTAGCACAACTGCTCTCCACACACACACACACCACACACACCACACACACCACACACACACACACACACCACACACACCACACACACCACACCACACACACACACCACACACACCATACACACACCACACACACCACAAACACACACATTCCACACACACCACTACACACACACACCACACACACCACACACACCACACCACACACACACACCACACACACCATACACACACCACACACACCACAAACACACACATTCCACACACACCACTACACACACACCACACACACCACACACACACCACACCACACACACACACACACACCACACACACACACCACACACCACACACACACCACACACACCACACACACACGCACACACACACCACACACACCACACACACACCACACACCACACACATACACACCACACACACACCACACACCCCACACACACCACCCACACCACACACCACACACACACCACACACACCACACACACACCACACACACCACACACACACCACACACACACCACACACACACACCACACACACACCACACACACCACACACACACGCACACACACACGCACACACACCACACACACACCACACACCACACATACCACACACACCACACACACACCACACACACACCACACACACACACCACACACACACACCACACACACACCACACACACACACCACACACACATACCACACACACACACCACACACACCACACACACCACACACACACCACACACACCACACACACACACCACACACACCACACACACCACACACACACACCACACACACACCACACACACATCACACACACACACACCACACACACCACACACACCACACACACACACCACACACACACCACACACACACCACACACACCACACCACACACACACCACACACACACCACACGCACACACGCACCACACACACACACCACACACACACACCACACACATACACACCACACACACCACACACACCACACACACACACCACACACACACACACACACCACACGCACACACATCACACACACACACACACACACACCACACACCACACGACACACACACCACACACACACACACCACACGCACACACGCACCACACACACACACACCACACACACACCACACACACACACCACACACACACACCACACACATACACACCACACACACACACCACACACATACACACCACACACACACCACACACACTCCACACACACCACACACATACACACCACACACACACCACACACACACCACACACATACACACCACACACACCACACACACACACCATACACACACCACACACACACCACACACATACACACCACACACACCACACACACACATCACACACACACACCACACACACACACCACACCACACACACCACACACACACCCACACCACACACACCTTGGATCATCTTCACGGGAAAGCCCAGTATTGATTCAGTACACTCCTATTCATTGTCTCGGAATGTTTATTTTGTTTTGGGGTTTTTTTAACAGGGGATAAAGGGGGAGCGCCGAGGTGAATCGGGGCTCGTTTTGGGGATCCACTGAAGAGGCATCTGCACTCTTCAGGACTCTGCTCTTCGTTCTTCGCTGCCGCTCTTCGTCGTCGTGTAGGTTTAGTCGGGGGGGGGGACGTGGGTTCGTGGCCAGTGTGCTACCGACCCGGCGATAGCTAACTCGCACACGCATAGCGAGCAGTCTAGGACAGTAACAATCGAACCCGGTGATCAGTGAGTTGTTTATTAAACGCGTTGCCTCCACAAATATAGTGTGTGCGCCTCAGTACTTACACACACTGCACACGTTGCTTTTTTATTATTTAGTTTTCAGTTTATTTGGCCTACGGTACTTATTTAAATTGTGATGTCTTTTTGTGGTTGCCGTGCACCTAAAACCCAGTATTTAGGTCCGGTTTAAGCATTGAATATCGCGGCTTTGGCTTTTGCGGGATTTTTCAAGAACGTAAGCCCCCCCCTCCCCCCCCGGGATATTCGAGGGTTTCTTGCATTGCTTTAACCCCGGCACCCCTAATATCAGGTGCATCTCCTCTCGTGCGCCTCTCATCTCCCCCCGCCTCTCCGAATGCCGCAGTTACGTATCGGTGGTGCGATAGAAGTTCCACGTACGGTACACACGTGGTGGTCACTCTGTAAACACGCACACGCTACACAGTACCTACCAGAGCGGGGTCATTCATAACCCTGATTGAGACCCCGCCCGAGGGGTGGAGGCTGTGGAGTGTGTGTGTGTGGGATCCCCCAGAACCCTGGTCCTAGACAGAAAGTGGGGTCGAACAAGCAGGGATCTGTGATCCCTCGGAAACCCCGCCCCTCGGTGGGAAATCATATAAAAGGCGGGCTCCTGAGAGCAGGAGGCAGTTCGTCTCAAGCCGAAGCCGTGGAGCCGCCTGAAGAGGAGATCCTGGACCCCATGCCCCGACGTCCTTCTGAGGGCCGGGGCTCAGTGTGGTACCAGCGATCAGCAGGCTAGGACCCTGAGGTTCCCTCAGCCCAACGTCCTTCTCAGGGCCGGGTCTGGACGGGCCAGTGGTCGAAGACCCACCGGTGCCAGCGGTGGGTCAGCCTCCGTTAGGTCCGGCTAACCGGAGGGTTAGAGTAGTAGTCAGACCCAAAACTAGAGTAAGCTAGCCCGGAGGCTGTACCTACCTAGGTTGTGGGTAGAAGGGGCCGTTACCCCTTCGTGTTAAGGGCCTAGGGAATCGTTGTTAAGGACATCAATAAAAGTGTTTAATTCCTACTACGACTCCGTCTCCATCTACGACTACTACACACACACCACACACCACACGCACACACCACACGGACTCACCACACTACGCACACCACGCACACACCGCACGCACACCACGCACACCACACACGCACACCACACACATACCACACACACGGCTGTGGCTAGCAGTCACGTGTCCATCCCCTCCGCGGACGACAATTCCTCAGCTGCGGGTTGACTTGGCGAACGACTCCTCTCGCGTCACTGAAACACTCCCCGTGCCGTGCCATGGCCCCGGCGTCTCTTAGTTCACAGCACGCTGGATGTCAGAATAAGAGGAAGCGCAACGTGAACGCACGAGACGCCGCTCCTGTAACAAAGAACGTGGCACGACACGGGTCAACCCGGCACCCGGGCTGCGAGTTGCGCGCTCGGGTCTCTCACCGTTGGTAGGAGGCGCGGTGGGCTGTTGCTGCGGCGCGTATCCATAGCCGGGCAGCTGCGGCAGGGTAGGCAAGAAAGCCACGGGTTGCGGCGCGGCGGGATTGTATGCCACGGCTTGCGGTGGGGCGGTGTAGTTGTTCACGTTCATCTGCATGGCGACGATGCGGTGCGCGTTTTGGGCTGCGCGCGACCGAGACGGACATCGCAAACCCCGCCACGGTCAATGCCACCGCCAGTGCCATCCACATCGAGCACCTCCATTAACTTCCACGACCACCACCACCACCACCCAGTGCCATCCACATCGAGCACCTCCATTAACCTCCACCACCACCGCCAGTGCCATCCACATCGAGCACCTCCATTAACCTCCACGACCACCACCACCAGCGTCGTCCACATCGAGCACCTCCATTAACCTCCACGACCTCGACCATCACCACCACCAACAGTGCCATCACCACCACCAACAGTGCCATCACCACCACCACCAACAGTGCCATCACCACCACCAACAGTGCCATCACCACCACCAACAGTGCCATCACCACCACCACAGCTACCTCCGGCACCTCCACCGCAACCCCCAAAATCTCGACCACCACCAACTGCAGCGCCACCACCGTTAAAAAGCACAGACCACGTAAACTCTGGTCATCCTCGCAGCAGCGAAGTGTGAGATCGCTACTGGCCAAGGTTACTCTTAGTATGGCCTTCACTCGCGAGTCCTCCTTGGTCTCAACCACCACCACCACCACCACACTGTGTTCAACAACCACCACCACCACACTGTTCAACCATCACCATCACCATAATCTTCTTTAAACGAAACTGTTCAACCACAACCACACTGTGTTCAACCACCACCACCACCACCACACTGTGTTCAACCACCACCATCACCACACTGTTCAACCATCACCATCACCATAATCTTCTTTAAACTAAACTGTTCAACCACCACTGTTCAACCACCACCACACTGTGTTCAACAACCACCACCACCACCACCACCACCACACTGTTCAACCACAACCACACTGTGATCAACCACCACCACAACCACCACCACCACCACCACACTGTGTTCAACCACCACCACTGTGTTCAACCACCACACTGTGTTCAACAACAACAACCGCCATTCACCACTAAGTGGCGGTGACGTCACCACGACGCTGTGCCAGGCTATGTGCATCCTGAGGCCACGTGAAGTTGTCGAACGCCCGCTGGCAGGAGGTCACGGGGCAGACCCAGGTGCCACGGGTCGACTGACTGAGATGACAGGCTGGTGCACCACCTGTGCCCCCTACTGTGCCAACCTGCTGTGCTTCAGCCACCCGGCGCTCCGCTCGTTGTTGTGAGCGTCGCTCCTCCGCCCTCCGTTATTGTTGGAGGGCGACTACCTCCAACTGCCCAGTAGCGTCCTTCACGAGCCTCCTCCACAGAGGCCGATCTTGACACCGCTGGTACCAGTCATCGGCAAGTCCACTCAGCTCCACGTCCTCCTGTACCACATCACTCCATCTGTTCTCTAGCCCGTGCTGCGCCCGTTTAGCCCCCTCAATCCGGCCGAACAAAAGCTGTTTCGGCATGCGGTGACTGGGCATGCGGGCTACATGACCCAGCCATCGCAGCCTTGCCCACCAGAGGAGCTCACCGATGGGACCTTGCCCAGATCTTTCAAGGATTTGTCAGCTCCACACACAATCCAGTCTGGTTAAACCCAGGATGGATCGTAGGCAGGCCAGCCTAAATGTTTCTAACTAGCGAAGATGTTCCATTAGGGGGGTCCACGTTTCGCAAGCGTAGAGAAGGGAGGGAATGACCGTGGCCGAGAAGACCTGAAGCTTAGTGCGGAGCGACAGACCAGGTAGCTTCCACACAGCGTTACGCAGCCGATGAAAAGATATTGCCGCTCGACTGATTCGGAGTGAGACCTCTGCTGTTAGACTGGAGCCGGTCATAAGCACACTGCCCAGGTATGGGAAACTCTCCACTATCTCCACAAGTGCCCCATCACCGATTGGGAGTTGTGGGGGTGGAGTGTCCGATGGTACAAAATACCCAGGCAGGTGCTTAGTTTTGGTGGGGCTGATGATACCCAATAGAACCAAAGAGTATGGATCCTAGCAGTCACGAAAGCTTTAAATCTGGAAAGGCCCCACCTCTTAGTGGCACGCTCCAGTCTCAGCAGCAGCGTCTCCAACTCCTCCTCTGAATGAGCAGCTATTACCAAATCATCAGCATACATAACGTGGTTGAGCAATAGGGAGCCATCCCTTGACTGCACCCGGGCATCGATCAGCCTCCCATTATATCTGTACCATATGGAGATTCCCCCGGTACAGCTATCGAAGGCTTCACGAACTACGTGGTCAAAATAGATGTTAAATGATGTGGGAGCCAGAGGACATCCCTGTCGCACCCCAAGGTGTACAGGGAATGGCTCTGACTCCCGGCCACGTAGTTTTACCCGGGCCCGCTTACCATCATGAAGGTCCTTAATGATCGCGAGCAGATGGTCAGGTACTCCAAAAGCACGAAGAACAACCCAGAGCCCAGGCCTACTGATGGTATAATAGGCCTTGACCAGGTCAATAAAGCAGAGATATAGGTTTTGTTGGAATTCCCTACACCTCTGCTGTAGCAGACGGACAGAAAATATGGCATCTGTGCAGGACCGCCCTTTCCTGAAACCGCATTGGGGCTCCGCAAGCCTCTCCTCAGCGTGCCTGGCAAGGCGATGTTGAATAATCCTTGCCAGGACCTTTCCCGGCACACTGAGGAGTGAGATGCCCCTGTAATTGTTGCAGTCTGTGCGGTCCCCCTTCTTAAAAAGGGGGACCGCACAGGGGGACCACCAGGGCATCCTTCCAATTCTGCGGAACCCGTCCAGAGGTCCAGACTGTTGTTATGATGTCATATAGGGCAGTCTGTGCACAAACGCCGCCCTCCCTCAGCATTTCGCTTGGGAGATCATCTTTGCCCGCTGCCTTTCCTGGTCTCAGACTCCGGATCGCCTTCAGTACTTCCTCAACAGATGGCACCTCAGCCAGCCACTCACAGGGGGTGACTTCTTCCAATATTTGAGGCACCGCAGCCTCAGCAGGGTCATCCTCACTTTGTGCCACGATGTTTTCCTGGCTTAGGGATTTCCCTCCCCCAGGACCTCACAGAAATGCTCAGTAAATCTGCAAACCTGTTCCTTGGGGTCGGAGATTGGATCACCGTTTTTTCCCCTAATGATGGTGGTGGTTGAACTATGTTCAACCACCACAACTGTGTTGAACCACCACCACCACCACACTGTGTTCAACCACCACAACTGTGTTGAACCACCACCACCACACTGTGTTCAACCACCACCACCACCACCACTGTGTTCAACCACCACCACACCACCACGCTGTGTTCCAGCATTCAGGCGGTGCGCATCTCCTCTTTACAACTCTAAGCCAGTGGCGGAAATTCCACGTTCCCATGACGGGGGCAAGTCTCTCCATAGGACAATAACTCCTGACTTGCTCACAAAGTGGTACCAATTTTATCGACTCCAGGAAAGACGATGTGATGTCTTTTTTATTTATTTAATTTTTTTTGTTTCGCTTCTACGTGACTTTACCGAAAGAAACCAAGAATAGAAATATTTTACCAGGTAAGCCCCACTGAGCTATGTGGCTTTTTTTAAGCGACGTGGCCACAAATGAAAGCTAAAGGAAGTGGCTTCTCATCACGTAGAAATGTATCGCAGCCAAATGCTCTAAACGTGTGATGTTGATTCAACATTTGGAGGGGAAAACCGGAGGATCCGGAGAAAAAAAAATCCACGCGACCACGGGGAGAGAGACACGCAAACTCCAAATATACAGGTGCCAGGGTCGGGATCGAACCCACGGCCTCCTGTATAGCAGGTGAGGTAGTTAACATATCATCCACCGTGGCGTTCTTTCAGCTAAGTTCAATCCACTGCTGGATGAAAGCGTCACTGGGTGGTGAAGGCCTTGCCACGCCTTGTTCGTCATGGCGTGGGATGGGGGTGGGGGGGATGATTTAGCCATACTTCCCCGCGATGGTCAGTGCTGGTTGGTGGAGTGCTGAAGTTCTGAGGACCGATCTTCTTTGGTTCTTCCGGTAAAGTCACGTAGAATGAGAACAAAACAATAAAATAACACAATAAAATTCTCACGACGTTTCGGCCACAACGCAAGCGGCCGTCTTCGCAAGCGGCCGGTCGCAAGGGACCGGTCCAGACACCCGGCCACGGCTGAACCGATGTTTGGCCGTGGCCGGGAATTGAACTCTGCTCGGGTCGCCGCAGGCTTGTGGCACTGCGCTGTCAGCTGCGCCACCACTCCCTCGTGCCCTTCAACGGCAGAGCCTCGGGGCTGCGCTCATTTGCCTGCGCGGACGTGAGCGGAAGCGCTGAGACGAAACGCATTCCCCTCTCGTCGCGTGCTTGACCGTCGCCGTGGACGTTTCCACCACGTGGCGGGCGTTCGATGTGAGCATGGGGAGGGTGAAGTCGTCCACGAGGCGACGTGTATCGTGACCTCCCTCGGTTGTAGCTAGCACCGCGCGGCCGGTGCGTGGGCAGGCAGGCAGGCGAGTTGGTGGCTCGGTTGGTGAATAGCTGCGTAGGTGCTTGTGGGTATCAAGGTAAAGGTAGGCAACGAGGTAGCAAGGGGCCGTCCATAAATGAAGTCACGCGATTCTGGACGATTTGTGACCCCCCCCCCCTCTCTTCGTCACACGGCGTCACAAAAAGTCAGACCCCCCCCCCCTCTCAAATATGACGTCATAAAGATCTGCCCCCCCCCACCACCAAAAAAAAAGATTCAAATCGCTTTAAACTATTGTCATTGTAGTGCGTATTTAATTTGCCGCTGCACTCTGATGTTGCAGGAGAAAACATTTATTAAAACGTCTATTTAATTAAGTAGAACGTGTTGTCTATATTTATTTAAAGTTGCGCATTTTGATGTGACGTCACATTTCTCAACCCCCCCCCCCCCCTCCTCACACATCGTCAAAAATGTCTGACCCCCCCCCCACCTCCCCTAGGTGCGTGACGTCATTTATGGATGACCCCCAAGTGAAAAGGTAGGCAGGTACATAGATAGGTTTGTAGCTGGGTAGGCAGGTAGGCGGATAGATATCAAATCAAGTAGACAGGCAGGTTGGCAGCTGGGTAGGCAGGTAGGTGGCTAGGTAAGTAGGTGGGCATCTGTGTTGAATTGAAGTCTTCATTGGAAAGTGTTGATTTGAAACATCACACGTAACCAGCCATCACCATCGTCCAAGGTGGCTGTCGCGTTAGTAAGTTCGCCCCCGCGCCTTAGGAATCGTGGCTTTTTCCACCACTGGCTCTTTGCAGGGCTGTACACAGGCGATGCTTACCGACGGCTAAGTGTGAGCCGTTTTTTTTTTTAAAGCAAAAACAGCACTTTTTTGAAGAGGAAGAAGATGTGAGTGAGAGGCAGAAACGTCACTCCATGCCTGGGGCACTCTTCCCCCCCTATCGCCACTCCTCCGCCCCGAACAGAGAGAGGCAAATCGCGATGCCACGTAAAGTCCAATGAAGGTCATCTCTGTCACGGATTGTTTATCGTCGAGAGAGAGAAAAATTCGTTAAACTTTCACAAATTGAAGCCTCTCTTTTTAAAGTTGTTTTTGTTTGAGTCAGGCTGTCTCACGTGAATTGTCATCGCATAGACAATGTGCGTGCTAATTGATACTGAATGGTAATTAAATGCCCGGCGCCCCTTGAGTTGCATTTCCCAGCTTACGGGATTGCAAACCCGCCACTGAAGCACCATCAAACAACACCCCACGCCCGACACGGCGTGGCGAGGCCTCCATCCAACAGTGGATTGACCAAGGGGGATGTAAGATTGCGTTTGAAAGTGCGCTCGTTGCTATCGCCAGAGATTGGCCCGACAGAAGAAAGGGGCAACACGGGCCAAGATTCACCCACATCGGGGCTCATCAGTCCGTTTGTCAGTCCACCGCTGGATGAGGGCCTCCTCACATCGTACATTGACCAAAGCCAAACCGAAGGCACCAGGGGCAAGGGGAAGCGAACAGAATCAGAGGAGAACAACCGCGTGGCTGGGAAGCATCGACATTACTGCACCATTATCTATAAAGACAAAGATCCCACGTACAGCCCTGAACAGGCTGTCGGGGGCAAGTGCTGTTAGCGAGTGGCAGCACCGGTGAAGGCTGGGCACGGCACACGAGCCGATGGGGGGTGACCAGCACCACGCCCGGCCGCCTTTGTGTCCCTCGTGGCGACGTTTACACGCTGCGCACCAGGTACTCATTTGAGGCTGAGTCGACCTAAGGGAGGCCCAGGACCGTGGGCGTGAATCGAACTCCACAAGATTGCCCTGGGTCATCCGCATTGACCAAAGCCGCAGGAGCAGAAGGAAGAAGCAAACGAAATCGGAGCAGAAGAACCGCGTTACAGGAGGCATCAACATTAACGCACCAATATTGATGTCTATGTTGAACTTCTTTTCACGCCGTACGCAGCGAACCGTGATAATCGGAGGTGCGGGGGAAGGACATCAAACTAAACACAAAACTCAGCTCTAAAGAAACGAGTTTGTCAATGTAGATGATGACGATGATTTAAAAGTGCCACAGTTACCCCAGTGGCTTCCCAATATCGGAAGAAAGAAGCGTTCCAGACGGCCGCAGGCGCGCGCGTCTGGAAGCGCTCGCCTGCGGCGGCGGCCGCAGTCTTTGTATGCACGCACGCACGCATCGACATTAAAATTACATTGAAATTCAATCTTGATTTGACGCTTTCGTGACTGCATGAATCCAAACTTTTTGGTTCTTTCGGTAAAGTCGCGGAGTTATTTGATTTCTAACTACGTGACTTTACCGAAAGAACCAAAGAGTATACATTGAAATGCCTCTAAGATAAGTTTGCCCAGATAAATGACATTGCGCGCACCCTGAATGCAAGCAAAGCGCACCGCAGCGAAAACACGTGGGCGTCCAGAGAAATGTCGCGAAACGCAGTGAACAGCGCGGTGCCAATCAAATGCCACAGCTGCCCATGCGAATTGCTCCGCCACTTCCAATGACAATATCATCATGGCAATTTATATTATTGTCATTGTCATCGTCATCATCATCATCATCGTCGTCGTCGATAGCATCATCATGAACATAATCGTCAACATCAACGTCATTAACATCATCAACGCCGTGCATCGTCGCGTTCTCGTACCAGGCTAGGTGCTGGTGGTGCCGTCTCGCCTCGGAGGTTTTTGCAGCTGCGCTCGATTGGAACCGAGGGATTTATATTCAAGCTGATGGGACGCGCGCATCGCGCTGTGATTGGCCGTCTGGGGGATCGCATTCGTGATTGAGACTCCGCCTCTCGCTCCATGGGGGAGCGAGGAAGGAGCGAGGGGTCGGCGTTCTGGGGTGGGTGCGGCAGGGGAGCGCGCGCCGCGCGCTGCTCATCGTTCCAGGGACATTTGACGAGTGGAATGATCGCAATCTCCGTAGCCTACATTGTTTGTTTTTGTGTGTTTTTTCAAAGTGATTTTGTTTCTCAAGCGAGCACGGCGACGCTGATCGTCGCCCCTTTAACAGCCCGGAGCCAGTGGTGGCATTTCTACATTCATTTGTCGGCGGCGAGCTTATCCATAGGACAACCACTGTTGACTACCCCACAAAGTGGTACTAATTGTGTCGAACCCTCTTGGAGATGATGGGCTGGATCAAACCCCGAACGGGAAATTCAACTTGCAACATTTCCATTCCGAGTTGCTCGCCGGGCTGGTATCAGAATCAGAACCTTTATTTAGACTGCACGAGGAATCCGATGAGCTATGAAGCTCTTCTACACAGATGTCCAGTATGGGCGGGTCAGCGAGTTATAAACCCTAACCACACTCTTTGGTTCTTTCGGTAAAGTCACGTAGGTATAGAAATAAATAATAAATCACGCCGTTTCGATCGCAACACTTTAACGCAGCTGCTGTGCGTACGAAGACGGTGCTCGTGTGCGACTACGGGGCTCATTTCCCGTTGTGCTCCGTGTACATCAACATTGCCAATCCCCCTTTGGCGCAGCTGCTGTGCGTGCTTGCGGCGACGGGGCTCCTTCCATCTCTGACCCCGCCCACTTAACCCTTGGGTGACGCCCACCTCAATCCTCTACATATAACCTCGTGTTGCAGCAGCCCTTTCTTGTTCAGAAGTTCTGCTGCTGTGTCTTTCCACCTGACGACGAATGCTTGCGTTGCGATCGAAACGTCGTGGTGTATTATTTAGTTTTCTACCTACGTGACTTTACCGAAAGAACCAAAGAGGATGGATTCCTGCAGTCACGAAAACTTCAAATCGAGATTGAACCCTAACCATGTTTGAATCCTAGTGCCCCCCACCCCCCTCCCCCCCTCTCTACTTCTCACGTACGGCATAGGAAGTGCAACTGGCAGCATATTATAACGAGGCCGAGTCTGGGCAACCCATTGGGCGGCAGCGGGAGTTGCTCGGCACGCATCGTCCGTGCCTCCTCGCGTGACCGCGGGGCAAGTTGGTCGGTTACGGGGAATGGACGGGTTGCAAGCATTCCACCGTGCTGACGACAGGGCGACTCTTTCATTCCCCCGTCAGTGACGGGAGTCGACGGGTGAAGCGCGGAGACGCCGGCTCATTCCTCGCGCCGGGGGTCATCCCGTGAGTCCCGCTCGGGACGCGGCATGGACGTCCGCCGATCGCCGGCGTCGCCGCGACGCGCGAGGGAGGGGAGGAGAGGGGTGCAGTCGCCACCCACTTGTCTGGCCGCCTTTGTCTCCCCGGTGCCGATGCCCCGGTGTTTATTGGCCGTACTGACCGCGGCACCCACTGGGTTTACAGATTTCGCACCGACGTCGAAACAAGAGCGACTCCAGCACTCACATTTTGGCATGTGAGTTGCTTGTGCAGTGCATCACCACTTGTGTGTGTGTGTGTTTGTGGTAGAGAGTGGTCGGCAGAAGCAGACATCGCAGAACTACTTCTGAGATACCTTCTCTAATGACCTGTTTCATCCGCACACTAAGACTGCACTATAGCCACTGCACTCTACAGAGACATTTTTGTCACGTGGTAGTTAAACCAAATGGGGTGGGGAGTCTCCCCCCCTTCATTTCGAAAGCTGGAATTTAGCCAAACGAAGTGACATAGACTCATGTGGGTGCACGTGCGGTGTGTTGGCAGGTCCTGGTCTCAAGGCTGATAATCATAAACCCGCTAAGCCTGAGAACCCGAACCTCGTGGTCTCGGAGATTCCAGCACGTGACCCCGGATGGTTGTTTTTGTGCTACTTTCTACTTGTTTCGTTGCTAGATGTCTAACTAGATGTCTAACTAGATGTCTAACTAGATATCTAACTAGATGTCTGACTAGATGTCTAACTAGATGTCTAACTAGATGTCTAACTAGATGTCTAACTAGATGTCTACGTGCATTGCTTTTGAGACGTCGTACTCAAGTTGTAAATGTTGTGGATTTACTCTCCAACACACCGGTGGGCTGAAGTAGTAACTAAATGTTTATGTGACAATACTTACTGGGTGAGTCGGGTGGTGGCGGGTTACGACACATGTATACTTTTCGATTTAAAGCTTTCGTGACTGCAAGGATTCATCTTCTTTGGTTCTTTCGGTAAAGTCACGTAGAATGAGAATACAATAATAAAATAAAACAATAAAATTCTCACGACGTTTCGGCCACAACACAAGTGGCCTTCTTCAGGTGAAAGGAACAAACCTGTCGGGACGACAGAGCTACAATGAACGCTGCTAAGATTCGCAGCGTCTTTTAAGCTGGTTGAGAGAGGTGAGGCACCTTGACAAAGGGGTTTAAATATCAAACAGGAGAATTTAGCATTGAAACAATTGAGGGATTAGCTTGTGACTGGTCACAGAAATAGCTGGGTTAAAGTCAAAGCCTACACATTCACAGAGGCACCTCGTACATGGACGCCAAAGGGGCTGCAACAACTCAACTATCATACAGTAAACCGATGTGAAAAAAACCTAAGTCTAAATTACATCAATATAATAAATGTACTCAATATATTCTTCAATAAGCAGAGCTATAAACAGCAACTGGGTATACACTACACTATATAATGAATACCATATAGTAAACAGATAAAAAAACTAAAATATAAACTACCTCAATTTTATCAATAAACTCTATGTATTCTCCAATTAGCTGAGCTACCAACAATAAGTCGTTATATATCACGATGCTATATGGCCAAAAATGGGTAGATTCTTACCCTCCACATCAGCACCACGGACCGCTACGAGCCCCGTTCAGACGGACGAGTCCATCATGGTCGGAACAGAGGAGAGAAACAGCTGCGAGGCGCTGTTATAATCATGTTACAAACCATACCATTAACCGTGGTGTGAGAAGTATTAAGAGTCAATGCCAGCGAAAGAGCTGCGGTCTGAAGGTCACCATAAAACAATTAATTAAGAACCGAAATGGTTTAAAGCATCTTCCCAATGGTTACTAAGCCAGAATCCATCTTCTCGGTTGAAATTGTCTTTGTGCTTGTATATGTGGATAGCCTCATGAACGAATCTCTCATGGTAGCTGGTTGGCTTGCAAAGAACCTCCGTCTTGGAGAAGTCAATGTATTGTGAGCCCACTGAATTATAACAGTGATCTGCCACGGCGGAGGAGTTCGTTCTACCGTGTTTCAAGTCTGCTTTATGTTCGCGGATGCGGTCCGAGATATGTCGTTTGGTTTCTCCAATGTAGCTACTACCACAGAGGCACTTTAGTTTGTAAACGCCCGGGTACTGTATGTCTGGAACAGCATCTTTTACAGATGGAAGCAAATCACGGATTTTATGTACTGTGTTGAATCGGACCTGGATCTTGTGTTTATTTAGGATTTTGGAGATCTTTTTTAGTAACCCCTGCAATGTAGGGTAAGGTGATGGTTTTGAGTGGCTCCACAAGAGGATCCTTCTTCATGACTGGAGTGATGGCTTTGAAGATTGTGTAGTCGGAGTAACCATTAGCCCTGAGAGCCTGGTGTACGTGTTTGAGTTCACTGGTAATGTGTTCCTGGTCGGAAATGCATTGGGCTGTATGGTATAGAGCAGTGGTTCTTAACCTGGGTTCGATCGAACCCCAGGGGTTCGGTGAGTCGATCTCAGGGGTTCGGCAGAGCCCCCGCCACGGAGGTCCGGACACACTTGAATTATTGTGTAAATTTGTGATGACACACACGGCCCGCTTGGCCATCACTGGCTGCAGATGATCATGCTACACTGCTTGGCCAATCAGCGCTGCGGGGAATTTAGTGCGTACTCAGTAGTCAACGTGTGACTGTTGTTGTCGTACGTCGTGTGATTTCTTTAATATTTTATCCATACTAACTATGTCGGGCAAAAGAAGAAAGTGGTCGGACGAATATGTACAACATGGATTCTCATGTATCACGGAACGTGATGGGAGTGAGCGTCCTATCTGCATGATTTGCAACGCCAAGTTGAGCAACTCTAGTCTTGCACCGGCAAAACTAAAGGGACACTTCTTGAAGCTGCATGGAGACGGGGAATACAAGAACACAACACTTGCTGAATTCAGGGTGAAGAGATCCAGATTCGATGAAAGGGCCACTCTGCCTGCTCTTGGATTTGTACCTGTTAACAAACCGATCCTGACAGCATCGTACGAAGTTGCTTACCTGATCGCAAAGCAGGGCAAGCCACACACCATTGGTGAAACACTTGTGAAACCAGCTGCATTAAAGATGGCGAATCTGATACTTGGAACAGCGGCCGAAGGTAAATTATCCCAAATTCCCCTTTCAAATGACACCGTCAGTGACAGAATAGAAGACATGAGTAAAGACATCTTGGCTCAAGTAGTCGCGGATCTGATTTCAAGCCCGGCAAAATTCAGCCTTCAACTCGACGAAACCACAGACGTTTCTGATCTAAGCCAGCTTGCTGTTTTTGTACGCTATGTGAAAGACGACATGATAAAAGAAGAGTTTTTATTTTGTAAGCCTCTTACAACAACAACGAAGGCAGCCGATGTGAAGAAGCTTGTGGATGACTTCTTCAGAGACAACAATCTTTCATGGGATATGGTTTCTGCAGTTTGTACGGACGGAGCTCCAGTCATGCTGGGAAGAAAGTCTGGTTTTGGTGCGCTAGTAAAGGCCGATGCACCACACATCATTGTGACGCATTGTATTCTGCACAGGCATGCGTTGGCAACAAAAACCTTACCTCCAAAAATGGCAGAAGTATTAAAA